TTTCTGTTTCCTGTTGCATGGCCTCCTCCTTTGGAACTACGGTTTTGATTTGTTCTCAGGGGTCTTAAGCTGCCCAAGTCTTGAAACAGAAAAAAGAAAAGATCAGACTACTAGAGCTCTAAAACTACACCAGAACCCCAGTTAACCAAACCTAGGAATGCTATGAGTAAAGATCTTTATACTGTCTTCATATGATATGTTCTACAGTAAAAATAAAACCTTTCAAACCTTTGCTTTCAGGGTTTAATTTGAAGAAACTATGTCCTGATCATAAACTTACCTTGGTGCTGGTCTGGATCTGCTCCCTCATGGTCCAAATTCCTAGAATCCTCAACTCCTGCTCCTCCACAGATGCTTTCTGAAAACAATTGTCTGTTAACTAGAATCACCTAAAGCACAATAAACATACGTAAATGCTAATCATCAATAAACATGATCAATCCGGTCACCCAACTTACGGTTCCTTGTATGAACTTACTGCATAAATCTACATTTCTGCCTTTTTCCCCACTTCTCACCATTCTCCTCTTCGTCCTCTTCTTCTTTTAGGCAGATGTGTTTGAGGATCTGCCGAGTGTTGCTGAAGGTCCAGTGACAGTTTTTACATTCCAACACCAATGTCCCATCATTGTTTCCAGCTGGCAGCAAATAATTGAAAAAGAAATGTCAAAACACCAAGTGCAGGAAACATATTTCAATAGCATATGATTTTCAATTAAAAACAAAAATTATAAATTTACTTAAAATATAACAGTAGCTTGAATGTCTGCGCAACAATTTAGTAACCACTGAGCAAAGATAGGTTGTCAAGAAAGTGGTTCCAAAACAGTGACAGTACTGCTTGTGAGAAAGAATTTTGAGATAGATAAAAATGGTAATAGACAGTACCACCTCCCATTGATCTACCTTGTAAATTTGCCTCCACCTTAATCCTCTCATCTCCTCTTTGAATATTATCCTCTGGAGAATGGGTGGAGTCAGCCTTGCCCTCTGGCAAATTTACGCGCAACTTCTTTGTAGAGCCTTTTGGTCGCCCTCGTCTTCGCTTCACTGGGATCTCTGTGGGTCAACAAGAAAGCATAAACAGATGATCATATTTCTTTTAATAAACAAATCCTCCTACAAGACCAAAATTAACAATGAGCTTATCCTATACACAGTTATTTTCTATGCAGCCAAAGCCTGATATGCTGTAGCTTACAGTATGTTTTGTGTCACAGAACTTTATTGCAATCTTCAAATACAATGAAACAGTAGGTGTAGAGTTGTACAGTATATATTTTTTCTTAATATGAACAGTGTAATATAGTTTAGATTTTTCCTTCCTTCTTTATTCATTGTTCACATTTGTATTTGCTCCACATTTTGTTCTCTGTCTGTTGATCAAGTCATTGTCCAGTACAACCCCAAATTGGTGAATGCAGTAATAATGATTATGTGATAGAATGTTTTTTTTCCCTGATTGTGTGATAGCAATGACAGACTGAATGGCACAATGAATTAATGATACACTAATATCTGACCTGCTAATGTGTCCTCAGAGTCTGCTGCAAGGGGCTGCAGTGAAATGATGATGCCATCGGGTGGCTCCTGCTGGGGGTGCAACTGGGAGCAGTGTGCCAGCATTAAAGAGCGACTGGGAGAGAAGAGGTTGCACAGCTGACACATAAACACCGCACCTGCTGGAAAAACAGGGTGTATCTGGGTTTTATTTCTGTAGATGTGAATGTGGAAACTATTGACATTGTAGACAAACATTATCTGTGTAACAAATAAATAAAGTCCTCTTCTGTTTTCTGTGCTCAGGCTTTCAATTAAATAATTGGGTCTAACAGGGTTAAGTGAACATGAAGGAAAATCTTGTTGCTGTCTCGAAAAATTCATTATTTATAAATTAATTTGACAGAGTCACATCACTGAGCTGCGACTTTGTGTTAAGTAACACTCGTTACCTGCAGCTACTATGACAGACCAAGCTCTGTACACTACTTGTACTTTTATTGCAAAAAGAATAAGTCCGTAAATAGTGTCTACAGTTTAAATACATAATAAAAGATTGTTAGTCTTCAATTAAACACATTTGTTTATATTAGCTTGGTAAGGTAACATGAAGACCCGACAAACATATTCGACTTGAAGCTAGCCCAAATTCTTACCTGCTTTTTGTCTCTCCATTTCTCCAGCGTCTAAATAGCAAAATAATTATATTTTGCCAATAGATCTCAACCGTAATACAACTAAATATAATCTCTGAATTTGGATTTAGAGGCTAATTTTACATTATGCGCAAAGAAATTTCTGTCGAATCTGCGACACAAATCCTTCCAACCAGCGGAAGCGGATAGGACCTGGTGGTAATGTGGCAGACAGCGCCCTCCGTGGTGGGAGGATTGTACTGCGGCTGAAACGGGAACGCCAGCGTAGTCATGCGTTCAATTTTTCTTGAAGAAACGCATTTTGGCTGAGAATTTCTTTTGCTGTCGTTGTGTGGATGCTGACTCAGCAGCATCCACACTATGTTATCCTATTAGTAGTGATGGGTAGATGAGGCGTCATGAAGCGTTTCGACACATTGCCAAACTGTATTGATACTGTGTCACTGAATACTGACACCTGCTAGACCTTAAAATCCCTACAGGCAACCTAGTTGACAGACTCAACTGACGCTGATTTGATGACCTAGTATATACAATAATATAATTTAAGTCATTGTATTTTATATTGTATTATTTCATATCTTCATTTAAATTTAAAATTTCCTTGATATTTTTAGATACAGTCAATAAATAATGTGAACATGTATCATAACGTGAAAATCTAAATGAACGTGTTGTGAATGAGGATGCTTGTGGACTGGGCTTTTTTTTTTTTTTTACACATTTTTATTCAAAAAAATAAGTTTTTCCAACGTTTTGAAATTGAGTCCGTTACGCTTTTTTGATACAACTTCTCCAGCTGTAGAAAACACCCGCTCACACGGCACAGATGAGGCTGGAGTGCAGAGAAATTGTAAGGCCCATTCAGCTTCTCTCTGTACTGCCTCTTGGCCGCTGTGATGGCTTTCCTCAGTCTGTACTTCACAGCTTTATACTCCATCTCGTTGCCTGATCTGAATGCATGAGAGCGAGCATGCAGCATGTGGCATACCTGACTGTTTGTCCAGGGCTTCTAGTTGGGAAACCTCCTGACTTGTATGGTGGGCACAGTGTTATCAATACAGGTACTAATGTACCCGGTCACATATTCAGCATAATCCTGTATGCTGACAGAAAAGTCCTCCGAGGTGGCTGCAGCTTTAAATGCATCTTTTTTAAGGACATTATGGCGTGTATTCAACTTTTTTGTAACATTTATACTTTTTAAAAAATTCAGCTTTTCCAAAAAAAATTCCGATTGAAATGAATGGGAGAGTCTTGAAATCTCCACCCTCTTTGAACCTTTAAAAGTACGGCATACTTTCAGAAACACCATTTAAACTTTACTCAACTCAGGACATGTTCAGCTATTAACCTCGTAAACAGCTTTTTTCAGATCTTTTATGGTTTTTGACAACATATATATCCCCCAGGAGTGCCCTCATAATGAGGATGAATATCTTAACAGGTTGGCATTTATTATGACATTTATCCAGGATAATGGATCTACTTGTGTATATGTTGTTGGAGACTTGAAAGCTGATGTTGATGACACTCAATCAGTTGTTTGGATACCATCTATTGAGAAAATAGTTTCCTCCCACAGTATATTAGTGAAGCTTGGTATAGTACATCTTGGCTTGATCACTGTATCTGTAACGCGTGCTGATATAGGTTCTATTGAGATTGAAAATGATTAATTATATACCTGTAAGTATAGTCTAAGTTCGTACTTATGTCAACTCTACTTAAATTAACGTTCATAAAATAAACAACTGTACATCTCCTTGATGTTAACAAAGCAAAATAAGTTTCCAAACCACAAAAATAGTCCTTTCTATGACATGATATAAATATCATTTACTTGTTAAAACAAGTAAAAACATTAAACAATTTATGTGATGCCAGGATTGTTTCTTATAATCACATAAAAGCCTGGTAGTGTGAGCAATGGCTTAAAATGCTTGGTAAACTTTATTTGGACAATTATTTCTATTCATTTATGAATTCAAGCAATTGTATTTCTACCTCTAACTTTGGAAGTATAAGTATACCTTCCACTGTTTCAGTGATGCGTGTGAGTTCTCAGTTTGCTTAGAAAATAAGCTCCCAACTTTAGCTTTTTTTTCATGATCTTCCATAATTATTCAGCATTGCACCTCAGCATTTAGCCATTTCAGCATTGCTAAAGCAATTCTTCAGCAATCAGCATTCACACACATTTTCTTCAGGAAATGCTTTTGCCTATTTTAATTTGTTGTCCACTTGTGTGAACAGACCTTAACACTGTTGTTTTAAAACTTTAGTAAAAGCTGTGGGAAAATGTGTGTCAAAGAGTAGCCTAATATTGCCCTAACGTAACATTTATGATGCAACAACAACAAATACAAACCATATCCTCATATAGGTTATACCACATATAATGAGGGTAAAGGGAACTGTGAAAAAAATAATTATTCATTATAAAAAGGTAACAAGAAAACAGCTAAATCATGGCTGAAAGATTTTTAAAAGCAGAGAACAAATATGCTTTTCTGTTAAACAGGCCTACATTTATCCATCCATCCATCCATTTTCCTCCGCTTATCCGGAACCGGGTCACAGGGGCAGCAGTCTAAGCAAAGATGCCCAGACCTCCCTCTCTCCAGACACTTCCTCCAGCTCCTCCGAGGGAATGCAGAGGCAT